CTGCCTTGGGACTCTGATCAGCCTACAGTGTCTTTCTCTCCTCAACAGCTTGAGACAGTCACGACTTGATATTCTGAGGCACTACAATAATAACACTTAATTCTTACCCCATACTAAAAGTCTGTTTTGGCATAATTCATGCTTCAAATACATTGCATATCTGTAAAAATCTGACATCCAATTGAAGAATATGTATCAGGTTAGTTAAATCTAACATACCACCCTTCAGCATTAAGGACTTGGGTGTATCTCCGAAGTTTTTGTTTTCTTTTTTCTTCAAATGTTCAGAGCCAATATAGCTAAAAACAGGGTAGCATCTGAAAAATGCATGGACTGTATTGCATGCCCTTTTTTTGCCTCTGAAAGTTGCATGATGTTAAAAGCAGCCAGATATGTGCAATGCATATTACAGATATAAAATACATAATCCATAGGCAAGCTTGTGTCTTTTTACCAACTATATAAATGTTGAAATATACAGCACAGAGACTCAGCCTCAGTGGGTATTACTGTAGATATTACATATACCTAAGTAGCATGGTTCTTACACCTTCTTCCAAAGTAATACTTAATTGTTTCAGAACTGTAGTGTGTATTTTATTAAATGCATTCTGTATTTTGGTAAAGAGTTAATGCTTATGCTGCTGTTTAGGCTTTTGGCACACGTTAGAGGGTAATGTTATTTCACATTATTTAACACATGCCCATCCATTATAGTTTATGCAGTTGTGTCAGGGGTGTGTTAGAATATTGTTTTTCTTTCCCTTGGTGAGAAGTCCATTGAGGTAATAAACTACCTGGTAGTTTAGAAGTCATGGTTGATTAGGCTCTTGTCTGGAAGATGACTGGAGTATCCCGCAGAAGAGTTCAGGAGGTAAAATAACTCCTCTGAAGTAATTTCTGAATCATGAGGTTAGAAATCATGGACCTGCCTCTTTCTCAGGCAAGAGAGTTCATGAACTCCAGACATAGATCCAGCTGTTTATCCCCAGCTTTGGAGATCTTGAATACATGCACAGAGCTTGCCTAACAGTTTTTATCACTCTACAGTATCTCAATATTGCTACAGTAATAGCTGTGCAGGGGGGTTGTTGATTTGGTGTTTTTTCTTCCTTTGCAATTTTTACCATTTAATAACATATTACAGCTGTTTGCCTGTATCTTTAGCTATTTTAAACATCATGTGTTGTCATAAAGTGAACATATTCAGCTATGCCAGCCCATCTTACTTTTGATTAAAAGGTTTCTTTATATACATGTCTCTATTCAGATGTACCTTTTCTTCTGCCTCCTAACTGTCTAGGTATATGTAACATGATCATATATTAAGAACAGCACTGATTGGATAGCTCTTCCAGTCACTTTTTGAGTTAGTTTACTAATGTTATTCATGTTGATCATATTTTTCCCCTGATTTATCTTATACTCTATCCTTGTTAGGAGGGTTATGGTTGGTTGGTTGAGGCTTTTTTCCCCTTCCTATATGCTAAAGCCAATCATGGAAATAACAAGAACTTAAAATGAAAAATAAGGAAGAATGGTAAGAAAGATACCAGCTCTTTTCTGATTTAGTCTTGGAAGTCCATTTTTCTACTGCATTTGGGATTTTTTGTTTGGTTTTTGTCACATTATGAAACCCTTGTCCTGCTTTTAAAAAAATGGTGATATCTACTTATTGCAGCAAATTGCAGTGTAAAAGAAAAAAAAGTATCAGATGCTCAGCTGCTTAGTGCTGCTCTCAGACTATTCATTTAAGTGGGGGTTTTTGGGGGTGTATTGTCATTATAAACTTGCATTCAAGTGTTTTCTGCTAGCAGGGAAGAATTAGTTAACAATCTAAAGCAAAAAAAAAAAAAAGGGCAATTTTTTGTATACCTCAAAAGGTAGAAGTTCCTGCATACAAAGTCACGTCACAAAGTTTCAAATTTGCACAGTTATTTCAGAACTCTCTTCACTTTTTAATTTTAATGGTATTTACTACCTTTACTATTTTCTGGGTAGTATTACTCCGATAGTGAGTACTTTAGTTTATAAAATTTTAGTCCTTTTGTAAGTGTGTGTTTTGAGACATAAGTGAAAATTATTTGGAGCAGCTTCCAGTGGGAATTCCCTGTTTTCATCTGATACTGCAGTTGGAAAACAACACCACCAATTGCATAAAAGCCATTGATATTGGTAGTTGTTTCTGTGATCATTTTTCCAGAAGAAAATTCAAAATAGTCATCTTGGCTTCAATTTTGAGGCATATCAGATGCTTTTTATGGATGATTATAAATTGCAGTGGGAATTACTCCATATCATATTGTCAGATCTGCTTCAAAAATTTAGAGGTCGCGGTAGACTTACTTAGGACTTGGTCACATCAGTAAGCTACATTTTAGTCATTTTCTCTTCCATAATATGTTATCTTTCACACAGCATTCAGGAAATGAGTTTTGATAGTGGTATTGTAGAGACTTACTGTCACGGTGCCAAAGTATTGATGAAAAAGACAAGATGATTTCTGGAAACTAAGAAAGAAATTACTTTCATGAAAATTACTTTTTCAGAACTTACCTTTCAGGAAAACAGGGAATATTGGTATTTGGTCCAGTGAAACATGCAAATAATTTATTGCCTAGTTGAAAAGTAGAATGCTACTTTAGTTCTGAAGGCTGAGATCTGATTTCTGAGTTAGTAGATCTACTTTCATCTCCGGCATTTGCAGATTTAACATCACAGCCTTATACCTAGCTATAGATTCCAGTAATTTTAGTAAGAGTGCATTTCTCAGTGATACCTATTGGTTATGTCTGCTGGAAAAGAAATTGAAAATTGACTGTTTCCTAAGAAGCATTGCATAGTTTCCTTTTCTGTGCTAAGTGGCTGTGAAAAAATGGAAAAGGGAGAGAGTGCCCTGCGTTTGCATAAGGTTTTGGTGAGATGTCAGCGCGTTCTGTACAGTAGGTTACTTTAAGTGACACAGAACTGAGTCTGTTTGGCTGTTTGAGCATGAAGTGTATGATCTGATCATAACAGTGGTTATAGCTGCATTAGGCAACACTAAAGCTTCACCAAAGTGAACCACTTCACCAGTCTGAGTTAGACTTGACTTTTGCTGAAGTGCTGCTTCTAGGTGAAATGGAGACTTTGTGTAACGTATTTTCTGTTTGTTACATGATGAACCACATCTTAAGTTGAATGAGAGGGGGTTGCTTGGCCTTCTGCCTTGTAGTTGTTGATCCAGGATACAGTTCCTCTTAAATCTTAAAAATTTAATTGAGGGAGATTTCAGGAAGCTTTTTCATTAGGGAAAATTCCAGCAATTTCAATACTTCTGAAATGCTGACCTCTAAGAAGAATATTTATTCATATATGCTGCAGAGTAAGACATCACCTAAATGATGATCTTTTTGATTTTTTTCTTTTTTTTTGTGTACTTCCAGGAAATAATTACTTTCGGATTTCTGATAAATACCACGTGATATTTATAGGGGATTTTGTTGGTTTTTTTTAAGAACAAGTTTTGAAAATTGTTCATCTGCATTTATAGTATTGTTTGAGCAGGGAGTGTGAGAAGGTTGTTTTCCCAGCTTTGATTGTAAGAAGTACTTTAAATAGATGAAGCATTTACAGAGGGAAAATGGGAAAGATTTTGCTATTGGTTTGCATATGCTCTGAGGAAGAAACCTAACAGAGAAACGTTTTACTGTAAACATCTCCAATTTTTTTAAGACTTATTTTAGTGTTTAGCTGCATGAGTTCTATAGTGGTCATGTAACTAAAAAAACAAAATAAAACCAGAAGCTGGCTCCTGCGATAAAAGCTTTGGTATAGGAAAGATGATAGTATGTTAGTCTGTTGTGAAATGCAATCTTTTGAAAAGCATTTATTTGTGGTTAGCAATTTCAATTACTACAATTTTTGTGAAATAAGATGCAAGCAACATAAATTGCATAAAAGGACTGTCAAGTAACTCTGGTTTTCATTTGGCAGTACTTAACAACCGTCATTCCTTATGAGAAGAAAAATGGACCCCCATCTGTTGAAGATCTTCAAACATTAACCAAAAGTGAGCATATAAAGTTCCCCCACCGATCCTTTCCTCTTTGTATTTCCAACTGTGGTTGCTCAAAACCAAATGAATCCATACAGTAACCTCTTTCCCCTTGCCCTGGGACATGTATGTAAAGTTGCATGATTTTTAACCATGCGTTTTGGCCAGATTTTACTGGTTTTCTGAGCCTTCACAGTATGCTTGTTCTCTAGCTGTTCTCTGAAACCATGAAGGCTAGAAACTGGCATGTATCAGAAAGTGAATGTTCTCACATTATTTCAACAGGTGGGCCTTATGGAAAATACTGCATGTCATGGAATTTGGCAATACTGTCTTATAATATCTGATAAAACCCTGTTGTTTAAACTTGCTGTGCTTTATTTAGGCTATTGTAATGACTTTAAAAAATTGGAATGGATGTCAGAACATTTGTGAGTAGTTGTATAATGATTGCACTTGATTGCCTTTAAAGTAGCCTGCTGCTTTCTGGGTTTGTGTTTTTGTTGGGGGAGGATGGGGTGGAAGTTGTGTGGCTTTGTGATTTTTGGGGGGTGTTTTTTTGGTTAATTTTAATAATTGGGAAGTATAAACCAGAGTTTTGACAATGCTTTGAATTCTTCTTTCTTCACATAATTTTAGTCAAGATCCTCAAAAATCATAATTTGTTAAAAAATATATAAAATTTATAAATTATAAATTTAATTCTAATTTGCATGAAAAATAAGGTTGTATGTTTAAAAATTTAATTAAGGTGTTTAAATACAGCAGAACACCTCTGGTAGACAAACCTCTTTAATTGCGGTTAATGGGAACAGTTAAAAATAAATGGTATTAATGTATTTGATCAGATCTCAGTGTAGGGCTTTGTATCTAACTGTGACTGAAGATGCTTTCCAGCAGCCCAGGTCTGTGATTCCACAGGTGGCTGAGGGATAGTAAAAGTCTCATTGGTTGTTTCCTGGAAAGACAAAACAAGTATCTTAGACTCTGGAGTAAATTAAATGGTTAAGCCGGAATTAAATTCCTTTTTATTTTTCTGCTGTTGGCACCCTTAGTTGGTAAGTCACACTTATTCTGTGACAAATGGATATTTCATTTTATATTTACTCCTGCAGAGAAATTTTATCCTCTTGCCATATTTAAATTTAACTTGAAAATATTCTCAAAAATTCAGTATTAAGCAGAGAGAGTTTAAAGCCTCCTGAAAACTTCTTGTGTTGTTTGACAGTTTATTAACAAAACGTCTCTACAAAGGCCGGGTAAAGAGTATTAACAGTGTTGCCTTCTGTGGGCTGGTTGGAACTTGATCCTGTGACTCAGTTGCAGATTTCGGAGTCACTCTCTGCTATTGAGGCAGACAGAAAAGCAGGTGTCTGGGGTTGTTGTTTTCTTTCAAAGCTGTGTATTATTCCCTAGTTATCAAAACTAATGTCTGTCTTCAGTATAAAAACTGAAATAAAGCACTTGGTATGTTTCCACTTCAGAGTTTCTCATGAGGAATTTAGGGTTTATTAAATAGTGCTTTTCAGTATAATTCTGTACTTTTGATTTTTTTCAGTTGTGTCCAGAACATTTCATGAAGAATTGTCAATGGTTTTGTTTATGGTGTAACAGACAAACTTAACGTTTGTCAAGTTGAGCTAGTCCAGATGCTTCTCCCTTCTTTAGAAACATGCAGGGGTGGACAATTTTGAGCTGATATAAGTCACCAAGATGGCATTTTGACATTGTTATAAGTTAATGCCAAATTCCAATCATGTAAAAAAAAAAACCACCAACATTTTCATCAGATCATTCGCAGCATTTTTTCTCCAGAAAAGTATCATCATTCCGTAGTCCGGAATGAAGATCGAGGAAACGAAATAACTAACGGAGCGTGCCTTCCCCCTTCCCCCCCCCCTCCAAGAATTCCAACCCTCCAGTAGTTGTTACCACTTCTTAATTCTGGATGTGGTGACTTTCTTTTGGAGATTTTTTTTTTAATAGGGAAGAAGTGCGTTTCTTGTTATGACTGATAGCATTTTACTGTAATAATTAGCCATGTAAAATGGGTTGATTGCATCTGTCTACTGTGGAGTTCAGTGAGAACTGCGCAAGTGACAGGTGGAGGTATGATGTGTCTCATACTATCTGCTCATATTCTAGTTAAAAGTTTTCTTGCTAATTTGGTAGTAATAGCGCTATGAGTCGTTGAAACAGGTCCATGATATTTCTTTTGAGAGTGTTGTCTTTAAGTTACGACTGATGTATTTCTTATATCTGATTTATGTGGGTTTTTTCATACTTTAGTCCTGCATGCCATGAAAGAGGATAGCGAGAAAGTGCCAAGCTTGTTAACAGACTATATTTTAAAGGGTAAGTATGTTTCTTAGCAAGGATTTTCTTATTCTAAAATAACTTGCTGTACTCTTGAAAACAGTAGTCCTACAGCATTCATGAGTTATGTTGCCTTCCTGTCAAACACAGCTCTTGTTTATATTCTATTTTGTCCTAGGTTTCTGAGCATGTAGTTCATAAATAAAATGTGGTTATTTTGTTTGTGATAGTATAATATAGAAAAGTATGGGGTGTATATTCAAATAGCTGAAGGACATCAACAGGAGCAGAGCAGTCTGGCTTACAAAATTAAATGGGTATAGTTAAAAACTGTGTTGTACAGGTTTTTCCAAATTGGAATTCAAACTGCCTATGGTAATACTGTATTTGCTGGACGAAGTGCTTATAGCTTCATTTTACGTATTGTCTTCTGATCAATAGTAAAAATTATTTATGTTTACTTGTTACACCTTTCACATTTTATTTAAAAGGTTGGTGTATGAGTCAGTTATTTTCCAGTCTTACACATTGATTTTATTAATAGAATGTGAGACATTGAAAATTATTGCTTGCTTTAGCTTTAAAAAGTTGTTCCAGGTAGTTATCAGGTTGTTAAATTACTTTATAAAAGCTTTTCTTCTGACTTCATTTTGCGTAGATCTTACTAATGCTTATGTTCTTACTTAATTTTTGGCGTGTAAGTGGTACCATCTTTCTTTAGTGTTTAAACTAAACTTTATTGTTTAAACTAAGCATCGAACTCCCCAGATCTGAACACATAGGTGTTCAAAAGGATGATATGTACCTTATTTATTTGCTTATTTCTTTTCTTTTCACTTGGTATCCTGCTCTCCAAGTGTCACTGTTTTTTCAAATACAGTCACATGACATAACTCCCTCCGTATGATTTTTGAGGGTTTTTGTATTTTTTACCAGACTTCTGATCACTCCCATGTCACAGAGATTTGAAAGTACTTTCAGGTTAAGTTGTGGATGAAACTTAGGGTGCTGTTGCTTCAGGAAAATCTGAATAATGCCATGCAGTATTTCAGAAGTTCCAACAGACTTTCTGTTGGAAGGGGCTCATTTTGAAGTTTTGTGTAGGGTTGCAGAACTACCACATACAATAAGAATGCAGAAATCTTTTCAGTTGATTCCTTTGATTTCTCCATTGTTTACTTACCCTTTCTGAAAATCCTTCTTAAATTGCACAGATGTATTTACTTATGATCTAAAGAGCCATTTAGGCTCAAGATCAAGGTCTTTTTAATGATGAAGGCACAAAACGTCAGATTGGTGAAGCAGAATCTTTGACGCAAGAAGATGAACTTGTCAATAATTATAGCTGCTTGCTCTTCATCATAATACATCTGGTAAAGCTCTGTGAGTGCGATTGAAGAGAACAGTGCTCTTTACAGTGTCTGCTCTTATTTTTAGATATATATATCTAGAAAAGCTTTCAGATTACTAGGGTACTGAGGAGAAACTGGCTGCCTAGGGAAATACAGACATCTTACACAGAGAAGGCTTATAAAAGTAGATTAGCTGAACATATGACAGGATGCTCTAGGAAGCTTGATACTGAGGTTCCCTCCTACTTCTGCCTCTGCAGGCTCATAAATTTAAAATCAACAAGGATGTTCTACTAACTAGATGCATTGATGAGCATCATACACTAAATAAGTTAGATCAAACAGGTTGTCATATACAAGCACTCTTGTCTCTAAATTGTAAAACACAAATGATGGGAGGATGTAATCGCTCAGTCATACTGAAAGGAAAACGTTATTCCCTCACAGCTACCATTTCATTACTGAACAGAACTAAGCCTATCTTGATCTTCTGTGAGTCTGTTTGTGCAACGGCAAGTAGTGTATGAGCTAGTAAGCTCTTCCTTTTAGTGTAGCTTTAACTAAGCTTCATATTGCTATGTTTAGATTATGTTAAATATTTATAGCTTGGCTGACAGGGTTGCATTGTAACATAGATGTATCCCATGCAATAGGCAAAGTCTTCTGATAGTTTCTGAAGCTGTGATCTGTTTCTCATTTTCTGTCACTAAAACTTCTGGCCTGAAGCCTCAGTCAGGCTTCACACATGGCACAAAATACTCCCAGCCACCTGTCTGTTGTCTGGAAATTATTTTTAAAGCTTGTTAAAGGGAGATGAGATGATTCTATATGATCACTTAAAGCAACTTTCAGCTCAGGTTTTATGCCTGAAATTCCAAGCTACTCCTTGAATTTCAAATAAAAAGAGTGACCTACTTTTTGAACAGTCTGCTCTCTTCACTGGAACGATTAAAAATACCCTGGCAAGGTGAAAATTATTATGAGGATTTAGGGATTTGAATTTGTTTTCCAAAAGAAGCAGAAGGATAACAAGTTCTGGACTCAGTAATAATAATCTGTATAGTATAGTGATAATTGTATTAATTTTACATTTGTTTACTGTATGATCCAGCTATTGTCTTATACTGAATAGATTCCATTTCTTTTTATCAAGCTTTAATCAAGAAATGAAATTTTGAAATGTGTGAATTATATCATCAAAGATGTTTTGTTAAAATCTGTTAACTTCTTGTTCCTTTGACGATCAAGGAAGTAAATTATTATGTGACAATAGGATACATGTAGCTTTATGGAAAATACAGTTAGTGTGGCATTTGTCAGCAGAAGTAAACCCCTCTTTCTAGCCTTGTATTCCATTGTACAGGGCAAAGGGGGGGGGGGGAATCTTACTTATAAGTCCTTAACAATTTCTTTTAAAGCAGTATTGTTTTTTATTCTGTGATATTTAAAAACTTAGAACATGCAGTCTTAACGTAGGTGTTATGGATGTCCACAGAATTAGTAATTAAAGTTGCCTAGATATTGACGGTTACTGTTGAAAAGTTACTTAGAAGCAAGAGCTGAAGGAAAAAATATCAGGGAAAAAATTATTCTAATGATTGCCATAGCATTGTTGGCATAATATGATGGGACAAATGAAAGAACACATTGAACCTGGAAAGATTAATGGAACCGTAAGATTGAGCAGTAAGCTGATTTAAGAAAGAATCTTGCCAAATTCACTGGTGTTCTCATAAAAACAAGAAGACTAAAATGATTTTTTCTATTTTATCTGAATTTCATAGTGGTTTGTAGAAATGTCACCATCTTGAATAATGACATGAACTAAATACCAAAATAATTCTGCAACTTGAGAAAGACTCAATTCGGATCATGTAGGAAGACACAGACCCTTTGAGTGTGGTGTCTGGTGCTTGGTACCTTCATTTAATCATGATGGAGTAGATTTGTTTTGACAAGGCAATTTGGGCAAGAGCTGGGCTGAAGTACGGGGCTGGGGCTCAGAGGAGAGTCCTGCAACCAGATTTGCTACTGACCTTCTGTGTTACCATTCTTGCTCTTGGTTTCATAACCAGCTAATGCTTCTGAAATGCTGGAAATAGAAATCTTCAGAATATAAGGTGTGCAAACGCAGTGTAAGAAAGAAGTGAAAAAGACCAATGTGACTCTTCATTTCACGTTATGGGGAAAAAAAAAAACCACCTCCATATGCATTTCTGAATAGGATTATTAGCTTTGAAATTATTTCTGGTGCTTGCTTTTTTAAAGTATCCTCTTTTCCCAATTTCTACTGCCCTCTTGTGTCCCTCAGAATGTTAAAAATAGCATCATTTTGTCCTCATGCTTAAGTCCCTCTTTCCAGTGATCATTTACCTCTCCCCTGGATCTATTCCATAGATCTCCCAAGGGATCTATTCCGTAGTGACATACCTTGTCAGGGGTAAGTATCCCAAAGCCAGACAATGTACGTACTCTATGCAGTCTCATACAACGCAGTAGCTTACCTTCTCTTGATCATGTTATTCTTGATGCAGCCTAAATTATTTTAAAAGGAACATTTTTCCTTTTGTGAGATTTTGTTTCTTCTTACTTTTCAGTGAACATTTCCATACTGGAGTTAGTAATAGTGAAAGTGATTTGCTTTTCTTTGACAGGCTTAAGGGTGAGGGTAGTCCCAAGCACAAATACAGGCTGAGTGCAGAATGGATTAAGAGCAGCCCTGAGGACTAAAGCGTGGGAGTGTTGATTGACAAAAAGCTCAACATGACTCAGCAGTGTACACACACAGCTCAGGAAGCCAACCGTATGCTGGGCTTCATCAAAAAGAGCGTGACCATCACACTGGTCTTGTGAGACCCCCACCTAGAGTACTGCATTCAGCTCTGGTATCCCCATCACAGGAGGGACATGAGCCAGCTCAAGAGAGTCCAGAGAAGGGCACAAAGATGATCAGAGGGCTGGAGCACATCTCTTAGGAAGAAAGCCTGAGAGAATTGGGATTGTTCAGCCTGGAGAAGAGAAGGCTCCACGGGAATCTTATAGCAGCCTTCCAATACCTAAAAGGGGCTTGCAAGAAATCTGGAGAGGGACTTTTTATAAGAGCATATAGTGATAGAACAAGGGGGAATGGCTTTAAGCTGAAAGAGACATTAGGAAGAAATCCTTTACTGTAAAGGTGGTGAGACACTGGCTCAGGTTGCCCAGAGAAGCTGTGGGTACTCCATTCCTGGCAGTGTTCAAGGCCACGTTAGACGTACCTTAGTTACTGGACTGTTCTTATCTCAAACCATCTCTCGATTCTCCTCTCCATCCCTCCAGGAGCAGGGGAAGGAAGAAGTGGGGGAGTGAGTGAGCGACTGCGTGGTTCTGAGTTACCGGCTGGGCTTAAACCATGACAGGCTTTGAGAAGCATGGTCTTGTGGAAGGTGTCCCTGGCCATGGCAGTGGAGTTGGAACTCCATCTTTAAGATCGCTTCCAGCCCAAACCACTCATTGGTTCTATCAGTTTGAGTGTGTGTGGACAGAGGAGCAATATGGAGAGGACCTGCTGGTATGGAGTTCATAGCAAATTTAAAGTAGAAGCTGAGGAAGGCATTGTGGGAAGGGGAATTTCCTAGTTTTATTGTTACGAGGGTAAGGAGGAACATCTGAGGAAATCTGGAAGCAAGAGCTTCTTAATTTAGCTACTTACAGAACAAATCAATTATAGAATCATAGAATAGTTAGGGTTGGAAAGGACTTTAAGATCATCTAGTTCCAAACCCCCTGGCATGGACCGGGACACCTCACAGTAGACCGTGCTGCCCAAGACTCTGTCCAAGCTGGCCTTGATATATGTGAAATGTTTGCCTATAGATATACACAGAATCAAGATACTAAGGACAGGTTGTCTGGTACACATTATTTCAAGATTATTAGTTTTTATTTCCAGTTCTTACAAAATTTGAAGGTTTAACTTCATGTACAGGGATAGTTTTTGAATATAACATACTACCAGTATGATATACAAACTGAATAAATCATTTTCTGTACCCCTGCAACGTTAGGGTTTTTCCTTAATTCGAGAACAGACATAAGTATAAATAATTGTGATACTCTTATAACTATTATAAATAACAATATAAGTATGCACTTACAGCTGAAATAAATGTGTCCTTACAGTAAACTGTTCTAAGATGTGTATATTGCTAACCTTTGTGTTCTTTTCTGATTAAATAGTAATTGTGACATAAATAACAGTGCTAAAAATAATATGCTATATGTTACTACTGAGTAAAATGCATGAAATATGTCTAATACTATTTTTTAGGCTTTTTTTCTGACTGTGGATGTCATGAAAGCAAATATTTTTTAGTTTGTTTTGCTGTTTCATACCTGATCCTTCAGGCGTCTAGTAAAAGCTTAAAAAAAAAACCACCAAACTTTTTTTTTTTTTTTTTAAATAAAGCAAGAATTTACACCTTGTTCTATTTTTAAATTATGCAGGTATTTCAGATGACAAGAGTATTTTCTTGCGCTTGAAGTTTTTGTTTGTTAGACCTGACTTCTTTATTTGCTTTTGTGTTGTGCTAGCATGGGTTTGAAAGCTGGATTACTCTGAGGTTTGTGTCTTACATGTGAAACAGGAATGAGAAACATGTGAAGGACATGTCTTATTTTCCCACTGTGTGATCCAAGTACACGCACCAGAATTAGAATGTAGAGTTAGAATCTCAAATTGTCAGTGCATATTTTTAAAATATAACTGTATGCGTCACCTGTTTATTTAATGTTATGTTTTCTAGTAGAACACCTCAAAAAGCACTGTTTAAGACATGACCTTTAGACAACTCATTTCTGGATTATGTTAGTTAAAGATAGTGGGTTGTGTCACTTAATTATCTTTTGAGAAGAGGATGATATATTAATTGCCAGTTTCAACTGGTGTCTAGATTTTACTGTGTTACTAATAGGGTAGAATTCAACATTTAAGTATTTTAATATGTACATTATATTTTTATACAGACTAACTTCACTGATGTTTATCAAGATGTATTTGTGGTTCTTTTGCAGTTCTGTGTCCTACATGAAGAGGGCTGCCTTTCAAATTAGTCATTCTCCTTCCTGGATGAGAAGCTTTCCATGTATATAACTCATAGTATATTTTCATTTGGCACGATACCTAAACCAGTTTGCATTTACCTCCTCTATGTGTGCGTGGATTTTCTGATCCTACAGTAAGTCGTCTGGGCATGTCAACTCATCCATTTTAACTTAATAGCGCAAGGAACCGGAGCAGGAAACAAACCGTGTACAGTTTTACTCGTGCTGTTCTGGCTTTTTAAAGTCTATTTTTACATTGTATAGCATGTAGTAAATCCTTCTGCACATTTTGTTGTTGGAAGGAAACATAAGTTTTGAATAGTGTAAATAAAATAAGCCTAGTTTTAAGGAATCCATATTTAAAAGCATCCTTAGTTCCTATAGCAAAGATGCAAAAATGATCATAGTTGAGCTTGGACTAAAAGATTCAAGCGAGTTCACCAGGAAGCACTCCAGAACAGTGCTGGTCGAAGACAGCATTCAGTGCTTCTTTGAAAATGGTAACTTTGAACTGTACAACAGTATTGTTCATACAGTGGACAAATCCAGATTCTTTGGTGGTTTGGCATAGGTAATTGTTGTGTTATCTATCCTTGTTATTTAACACAAACATCCAAGTAATGTACTATTTCATATTTGTTTTTATTTTAATTATTAATCTTCATGTGGCTTAGGTATTCCCCCATATTGCTGCTGTAATTTTACTGGTTTTAGTAAGTGTTTAATCTTAATGAAAATGCTTCAATATATAAACATTTTAAAATGCTGTATCTTTTTAAAAGCACCTGTACAGTTTGAAAAACTTGCACCTGGGTCCCAAGTTAGTATTATATTGAGATGTTCATTGTTGTTTATCTCTGAATTTTACTACAAATCTCTCTTGTAAATTGTATGCAGTGTCTCCTCTGTGATGATGTATCTGCATTCAAACAGATAAGAATGTATTTTACGAATCCTGTAAAAGAAACGTACCCCATAATCTCAACATCAAATGCTTTTCACAAATAATTTTGCCAGTCTTAAAGATTAGATTGGAATGTAAGGAGTGCTAATAAAAAGAACTATTTCCGAGGTTGAATTCCAGTTGATTCTACACACAGATTTATGTACTGTCTATGTGAAGGCATTAGAAGATAAGGTTCTAGAGAGATACGTATGTCTTCAAACAGTTTTTTCCATTGAAAGTCGTCTTTTTGTTAGTTGAAGAGAAATTTGCTTCTGAATACCTTACTCAATTTTATCATTGTCACTGAATGCTCATTTTGATCAGTAAAACACATTCAGTTTGAAAACAGTTCTCATAAAGCTTTCTCTTTTTTAAAGGCCTCAATATTTTTGTCTTTTGTGCCTTTTCAGTCAGTAAGGTTTTCAGCTTAAGATTCTTTACTCTTCCCTCTCCCCCACTTGACCACCAGTGGGTACTTCCCTGCCTGCTCAGGAATAAATAGATCCTCTGCATAAGTGTATAATATGTGTAATAGTTGGGGGTGGTTTTGTTGCTTTATTGTTTGCTTTTTTCATTTGTGGTTTTTCTAACAAGAATAGCTGCCATTTATTTCTTTAGCTGATACATTGTGAACTCATTGTGGCATGCTTTTTGTATAGAAATGCTTGAGGTTGACTAGCGATGCCTGGAAATTGGAAAAGGGGATTACCCTGTTTTGCTTAATTTTTTTCAAAAAGGTGCATATGCTGTGAAACACACCATGTCTTCCAGTGAGATCTATTCAGAGATGTCTCAAACTACTTCTGAGGCTTGAGGTGACAAGACAGAACAAAAAAGATGTCAATTAAGGGAAGAATTTAAAAAAAGAAACAAAACAAAAAACAAACCCACATGACACTTGACAAGGTTTGTGTTGTCAGTTGTAGCAAACCTTGGATGACTTAAAGTCACAAAATGCTAAAAGTAGTAAAACTTGAAAGAAAACCCGGCACTAAAGACTAGAAACAATTTTAGTGATCTGAGTATCTGGATGGGTATATCGTGCCCCTCATCAGATTAAACAAGGTATTGTTATTATTATTACCTGTTTACCTTGTATGTAAATCCTGGCCTTAAACAACAGTTGCCAAAGGTGGCAAGTATTATATATGTACCTATATATGTACATTAAAAATTAAATCTCAAAACACTTGAATAAAAAGAACCATGCAAGTAGCTTTTCTGCTGAGTTTATGTACTTCATATTCTCTATTATGCATCCTTTTTCCAGGCGTATTATTGAATCTTGTGTTCTTTCAGGGAGCTGAATTTCATTGTTATTTTTAGGTTTGGCATGTGGTAGCTGTAAATGGCCACCCAAGAACAGTTGCTGAGAAATACCCTAGAAGAGATTTGGTAAAAAAGCATTTTTACCAAAATCCATTCCATTTTTAATATAAAGAGTCCTGGAAGCAAAGTCACCTTAAAATCATTGAATTTTAAGTTACCTAAACTGATGCAAATAACCTTTCTTTAATAGCCCTTTTTTGTTCTTTTGTTTTTTGTTTGTTTTTTTTTTGTTTGCTTGTTTGGGGTTTTGGATTTTTTTTGTTTTATTTTGGTTTTTTGTGGGTTTTTTTGTTTGGTTAGTTTTGTTGTTTGGGGCTTTGGGGGGGGGAGTTTTTTGAGGGGGATTTCTTCATTTTTGTTTGGTTTTGGGTTTTGTTTTGGTTGGTGGAGTGGGTTTTATTTTTTTGTTTGTTTTTTAATCCAACCCTTTTTCTGGGTTTCAGCTGTTTCATTTATGTAAGCTTGCTCACTTCCTGCCTAGAGTCAAATTTTGAGTCAGGGACGGCCTGGAAGTCTGACTGAATTATGGTTAAGGAATGAAACTCGAAAACAATGCCTGTTCCCTTCTCGTGAAAGCTATTGCTTTAGCTGGACTCCCAGCTGCTGTAGGTAATTGGTGATAAAGAACATGTGCTGTTGACTGTGCTGGGTAAGTTGAAGCCTTTAACTTGGAGTGGTGTTTTATTGCAGCAGTTCACATCGTTGCTTCAAGACTGGAGATTCCCTTGGTATTCTTTCTGCATGCATGTCACTTGGGAACTGCCACTAGCCCAGAAATGGCACTCTCTGCTTGGCAGCAGTGTTAGTAATCAAGTGTGCATCTCTGACCAGCATGGGTCACAGCAGCTGCCTCCTCACTTCCAAGGGGACAATTTATGGTACAGGTTTCAGCTCCTAAAGCTGCAGCTGGAAGCCTGCTTCTCCAGCAGTGGAGATCAGCAGCTTGCTTCACTTAAACCATCATCTACCCAGTTCAGTTGGGAAGGGCCTAGAAGCAAAGCTTTCTAGTGAAGCATTCACAGTTCAAAGGCAACCAAGTCGGAACTTTCTGACTTGTGTCATTGTTCTGCAGTGTATCTTTCTTTTGGGCAATGGGGCTGTACTGTAACAGTAATAGAATCCATGTGGGTGTGGACCTATTTTCAGATTCTGAGATCAATCCTGATTTTTAAGACTTCTTGTGAACTTCCAAGTTATACCTGGATATAAAGTCACTCCAGAAAGAGAGTTTCTTATTGCTGAAGAATTGAAATGCTTTTAATTTTTAAGTGCTTAATCCTAGCTGGTGAAATGAAGTGTCTTGTTTCCTTGCTCATACTCTTTTGATTAGGACCTAACTCAGGACTTCCTTTTTGTTCAATACATTTAATTCTTCAATTTTGACCAGTACACTCAATATTGATCAGTGATGGCTCTCTGGATTAGCTGCTGAATGTCCAGTCTTAACAATAATTCTTGAAGAAATTGTATGAACCCCAGTATGAACCCCAGAACTAGTTACTTAATTTTGTTGCTGCATTTTGTTTTTCTATCCTTTATAATCTGCAAAAGTTGGATAGAAGCCTCTCTTTGCACTGAATGCTAATTTAAACAGAGGTCATAATTTTGTTGTTTGTTTCCCAGCCTGTCTTTGTGCTTGGGTTTTATGTTAATGTTATGTAATAAATATTAATTTTCTGTAGTGTTGCATGCAGATTTATGAATTCAATACAAGTTTCTTGGAAACAATGTTGTCATGGTTCAGGCAACCTGGAACCACGCAGCTGCTCGCTCACTCCCCGCCCCTCTTTCCTCGCTCCACTCCCGGAGGGATGGGGAGGAGAATCAGAGGAATGTAACTCCCACGGGTTGAGATAAGAGCAGATCTGACCAGATTCCTTATCCTTATCATTATTATTGGTAGCAGTAGTGGTTTGTCTAGGAGTGGGGGGGAGGAAGGAAGAGGGTGGGAGGGGGCGAGCGGCTGTGTGGTTCCAAGTTGCCGGCTGGGCTTGAACCACAACAGTTTCTTTTTGGCGCCCAACGTGGGGCACAAAGGGTTGAGATAACAATAGATCTGACCAGAGTGAATTTCAAACCACTACTGCTACCAATAATAATGATAAGAGGCCGACCGATACCCAGCCCGACCCGAGCAGTGATCTGGGCCTTCCAGGTAACTCCCCCCAGTTTCTATACTGGGCATGACGTGCTGTGGTATGGAATAGCCCTTTGGCCAGTTTGGGTCAGGTGTCCTGTCTCTGCTTCCTCCCGGCTTCCCCTCCTCTCTGGCAGAGCATGAGACTGAGAAAGTCCTTGGTCAGAGTAAACATTACTGAGCAACAACTAAAAACATCGGTGTTATCAGCATTGTTCCCAGGCTGAAAGTCAAAACCACAGCACTGCACCAGCTGCTAAGAAGGAGAAAAATGACTGCTGTAGCTGAACCCAGGACAAATGTGTTACAACTTAGGCTTAATACAGGAGGATGAAAAACTCAGTGAAGAAGGTAACGTGCTTGGGTTTTCTTGGTAAGGAAAATGTTTGGAGAAGGCCCTAGTTTTTTCAGAGCTATGGAAAGCAAATTCTGATTGCACATGTTTCTGTCAGCATGCAGTCCTGCACAGTTCTAGGGCTTGGTGGTACTCAGGGGACTGACCAATTCAAAGAAAACAATTTGGATTTTCCCCACCGACTGCATTTTTGGTCTTCAGGAATATTATATTGCCCAGCTGAAGCAGGCTGGTGTGCAGGAACGCTTTCCAGTGGGATGGCAGCGTTCCTGTTGAAATGTCAGTTCATTTTTATCTGTAGACAAATCATTGACTGCTCCCAGGAATGTTTCTCCTTCCGCTTGTATTGCCTTCACAGGAAAACTAATCATGCAAAGTAAATCCCATGTAGATCATGCTGCTGATTTGCATACTTGGAATCTGTGACTGGAAGATGCCTAAATTAGCAGGAAATTCCCTCAAAACACCTTGCAGCTATTTCATCATGAAAAAATATCTCCACAGTATTGCCTGTGTTCACCTCTTTCCAACCTGAATTGAAGGCTGGAAATTGTGCTTGAGATGAATTTGAAAAAGACAAATGCAGAA